CTAATGATTTAATAGTTTAAGTAATATATAGACACATACCACCTCATCTGCGCCCATCATTTCTGCCTCTTTTATACAGATTATAGCCAGTTAGATTTACAACCAAGATGCTTTTAAACAATGTTTCACTAACAACTATGATTTGTGGACAGTACGTGTCTACTAATACCTTATATTCATCAAATTTATTTTCTAAAGAGGTCACATTTAATAAATACATTTCAAAGCATTTAGTCCATTTAGAGATAGTGGCTGAAATGATTTTGTTGAATTAGTACTGTTGAGCTTTAATTTCTAATTTCCACGAATGCCATATCTAAAGGGCGTGTCTTCAGCAAGTATACTGTTTGCTTCATTTATAGAAATTATTAAAGTAATTGGAAAACGTGGTCTTAGTTACAGGGGACATGAGTTTGAAGTTGCTTATACATTGTCAGATAATTCAATTGATCATGGAAATTTCTTAGAAATGGTGTTACTTGTCAGTAAATAAGATACTTGTTTAAAGGAACATTTAAATAGTTGCATTGAACAGAGTGAAAAACGGAAGAACACAGGAAGTACTGGAAGAGGTTCCATGGTTACTTTTCTTTCAAAAACCACAATAACAAAACTCATTCAAATTACGAGTTGTTCCATACAGAAAATCATTGCAAAAAAAATTAACTCAGCTGGTATGTTTTCAGTTCAAATTGATACAACAGAAGATATAACAACTAAAAATCAATGCTCAATAGTTGTGAGGTATGTAACTGATCAGATTCACGAAAGATTATTAACTATGATTGCGTGCAACTCTTCAACTAGCGAGTATCTGTCGAGTTTAGTATCTGAAACTTTAAAGGCATTGAACATTGATATTTTGAAGTGTGCTGGTAATTCAACAGATAGAGCTGCAAACATGATTGGTGAGTATAATGGTTTCGCAGCATGGATGTTCAAAGAAAATCCAAACCAAATACATGTATGGTGTTATGCTCATGTTTTAAATTTGGTTATTTCAGATACTTGTAGTGTCGTTTTATCCAGTATTTCCTTGTTTAATTTGTTGAATGACGTAGCAGTGTTTATTCGTGGATCATATACAAGAATGAATATTTTTGAAACAGAAAATCAGAATGATATACACAATCCCAAATTTCAACTATTGGTGAAACACGTTGGTGGTCAAAGGATGCAGCGTTAACAAAAATATTTGGTACCTTTGCCAATCCGCATTCTAGTTTCTACGTTGAACTTGTAGTTGCATTGTCTCATATTGAAGACAATTTAAGTTTCAAATCTGAAGTTCGAGTAAAAGTAAAAGGCTTCAAAGAAGGACTCCTTAAGTATGACACAATTTTAACTGCACAAATTTTTTTACGGGTTTTTCAGTTGACGACACCGCTCTCAAAATATTTACAAACAGTAAATATGGACATTTTGGTTGTATACAACATGATTACGCAAACGATAGACACATTGAAAAAGTGTTTAGAGGAATTTGATATAGTATTGGAAGCTACTAATAATTTTGTCTGTAAAGTTAATGAAAAACTTGAACAACATGAATTAGAAGCAGAGAATACTCTACCAGAAAAAAGAATTCGAAAGAAAAAAGTATTATCAGGCGAAACTCGTCCAAGTGAATTTGAAATTCATTCTGATGTACTTAACTCTTTTAAAGTTAAAGTTCATGATGTAATATTTAAAAGCATAATAGAAAGCATGAGCAAATGTTTTAAAAAAAGTCTTTATGCTGATTTCGCTATTCTAAGTCCTTCAAATTTTGAACAGTTGAAAGCTCATAGTGTACCAACATCTGCTTTAAATAAATTGAGTGAACATCTATTGCCGTTTGATGAAGAAGCTACAGCAGAAAATTTAGAAGTAAAGTTTGAAGCAAAACTGAGCTTACTAGTTTTGCTTCAAACTGGAATAATATCAAAGAGTCACTTTTGAGTACATATGACATAATGGATATAAACAAAGAAAGTGTTGAGGAACTTGAATATAATTGTCGAAAGTCATGTACTGCCTGTAAAAACTGCACAGTTTGTTGCTACCTTGTTTTGATTCAATATAATTTAATAAGTGAAGCATAAGCAAAAATTAGGTTAGCTTATAAATATACTTTGTCACTTTCATTTACGCAAGTTGCATGTGAAAGAAGTTTTTCAATTTTAAAGTTCATCAAAAATCGTTTGCGTAGTAGTATGGCTCAAGAAAATTTACAATCATTCATGCTCATGAATACTGAAAAGGAAATTCTAAGCAATCTTGATCCCGAAACAATAATTGACAAGCTAGCTGAAACAAGTGATCTGTTTAAAAATCTTTTAGTTGTTTGAAAATTCTTAATTAGTTGAATATTTAAAATAAACATATTTGTTCTTAAAAAATTTGTTTAAAAATTTTATAGTTAAATTATAAAAAAAATAGTTAATTAATTTCCCTCTAATGTGGGCCGGTCCAATATGAAATGCCCGGGCCGATTTTTAGTCCCAGTCTGCCACTGATATACATATATATATATATATATATATATATATATATATATACATATATATATATATATATATATATATATATATATATATATATATATATATATATATATATATATATATATATATATATATATATATATATATATATATATATATATATATATATATATATATATATATATATATATATATATATATATATATATATATATATATATATATATATATATATATATATATATATATATATATATATATATATATATATATATAAGGTCACTGTAATGTATGGAATATCACTTGGCTCAGTGTGTAGTTTATGTATTGTATATATATTAATTAATTGCAGCAAAAATCAGAAAATTTTAAAAAGATATTAATTAGGAAATTTTTTTACGAAATAAAAAAGAAATTCTTGCAGTTTTTCTTTTGTATTTCCCAAAACAGAGGAGTTACTTACGGTTTAGAAATAAAACAACACTTTTTAGATCGTTTAAAAGTTATGATATTGACAAATTTACAGAAAAAAACAGTGCTTTATGGATGATAAAAAAACTATTTACTAGTGATGTGCCATTGGCTAAAGCCGATTAAGGCTAATAATAGGGTTTAATATATGTTTATAAAGATAATGCCCTAATATTAGGTATGCAATTTGTATATATAAGGTATGCCTATGCACCAGTTTGATTTGGCTTATTATCCAATGCTGATGCATTGGCAAATGCTGATTAATCAACAGATGCTTTTAGTTGGACTCGTAACTAATTAATTAATAAGTCTACAGGGCTTGAATTAACGCAAAAAATTCTAATCACAAAAAAAAAAAAAATTCTGTGGAAATGGGGGGGGGGAGGGTACATTATTATAAAATTGTATCTTTAGTACATAATTGTTATTTTTTTAACATATTATCTCTCATATTTAAATATTATCTTATAATTAAAATAGTGCAAGTTACTGTTATAATTTACAGCTTAATTTATAATTTAAAGTTTAAGTTGCAGTTACAGTGTAATGAGCAAGTAACATATTTAAAACTATTAAGATATTACTTTTAGTAATTGTTTATATTTAACATGATACTTAAAAAAATAAAAGTAAAAAACTAAAAGTAAAAAGCAAACAATTACAATATTTAAACCACTTTAATTAGTCATAGAAAACTATTTAAGTTGCGAGCAAGTGGCATATCAAAAAATGTTTTTATTCGTTATATTCTAATCTGATTTTAATTACCCCCCCTACCTCCACGTTGCCCATGACTCTAAGTGTTATACTTTAATACAGTGTACATATATTATTAGTCGATAAAAATGCTGAAAGTTAAGGCTGCAATCATACAGATGAAAAATGATAAAAAATATTGTGGTGGACCATATGAATTATCAATGACAGATCTAAGCACTTTTAGATGGGTTACTTAATACTATTACTATTTTATTCATATAAATCCAAATGCAGATATTGTATTTGTGACTAGGCAAATTAACAATATAAAATCAACTTGGGACAAATTATTTGATATTTCTACATGTCCCTGTTAATTATATGTGTTCCCCTGTAGTGAAAGAAAATTTTTATGTAATAAAAAAAATTGCACTAAAAAACATATTGTATGCCTTTGCTCTCAAAGTAATAAAGCCCCTTTTGAAGACAGAGCTTCATAATCAAAGGAAAAAAATTGGTTTAAAAGACACATATCAAATTTCTTCCAAAGATAGAATATTTATCAAAAGGATTCAAAAACTTAATAAAGAACAACAAAAAATATCTTATAAGCTAGTTGATAAAGATGAATCCCTCATACCAAATGTAAACTTAATTGAAAAAACAAGTGGTGTATTGGAGTGGTAATACAAAGGTAAATATTTTATAATTGCATGAAATATTTAGAGTAGATGAAATAGAAAGCATTTTATTTTATTAGCTTTTTTTAAGATGAAGGTGAATGTAAACAAATAAATAATTGGAATATATAACTTGGTTAAACTTCCAAGTTTTGCAATGGAACTAGTCAAAAAAAGAGTGTTCATTAATCATAGGTGCATCTCTTGCAAATGCTTTATTACATGACATTAAACACTTCCTGAAAAATGAAATTGATATAAAAGCTATTTTGACTGACAAATGCAAATCAGATCGAGCCAAGTCAAAAGTAAAAATCATTAGTGAAGATGTGGACTCAGAACAAAAAAAAAAAGTTAATTTGTCTTGAGTTAATAGAATCTCGATGAGATAAACAATATTTTAATATATTCAATAATTTTTTTTTTTTTAATATTTTAATATTATAAATTTAAAAAAATTTAAAAAATGTTTATTAACTAAATGGTAGTTTTCAGCATATAAAATTTGTGAAAATGTGATTAACATTACACACAAACACACACACACACGCGCGCGCACGTAAACAGATACACAAACACTTAACATGTGTGTATTTTAAGTTAGATATAATTAAAGATACATTTTATTGCAAAATAATATTTTACAATTTTTTTAACTTACCCCAGCTTTCAATAAACATTTTAATTGATTTTTGATATCAGCAATCTCACTATCACCAATAAAATTTTCTTCCAGATAAAGTATCAGTGCATTTAATCTGTTATGACCACTTACTTGGAATACTTCTTCACTATTCATAGTTAAAATCAGTAATCTAAAGCATTATTCTTTATTATAAATAATAACAAACTAAAAAAAAAAAAACATAATAAAAATAATTATCAATTCTTTCTCACAATACAAAAATTATTAAAGAAAAATTAAGCACAATAGCTAAAAATGAGTCGATAAAAATATAAAAAGAACAATATAAACCTTTTATTAAAAACAAGCATATTTTTACAACAATATTAAAACAAAGGTTTAACAAAAATTTCAGACAAATTTTATTATTATATTTGGCTACAAACCCTGAAGAAATACTGTTTATAAATATTCTAGTTGCTAGACATTATATGTATATATATATATATATATATATATATATATATATATATATATATATATATATATATATATATATATATATATATATATATATATATATATATATATATATAAATTATGTAAGTGTATTCTAAAAATAGAGTGCTCAATGTTCTTAAAGAATAGAGCAATAATAATTTAGTAAAAACACTTATCTAACTTTTGTGCTCTTCAACAGCATGTTTCGCCATCAGAAGGTTTATCAGGAAGCTTTCTGATGAACCTACTGATGATAAACATGCTGTTGAAAAGCACAAAAGTTAGACAAGTGTTTCGACTAAATTATATATATATATATATATATATATATATATATATATATATATATATATATATATATATATATATATATATATATTTATATATATATTTATATATATATTTATATATATATTTATATATATATATATATATATATTATTATTTATATATATATATATATATATATTATATATATATATATTTATTTATATATATATATATATATATATATATTTATATATATATATATATATATATATTTAGATATATATATATATATATATATATATATATATATATATATATATATATATATATATATATATTTATATTTATATATATATATATATATATATATATATATTATATATATATATATATTTATTTATATATATATATATATATATATATATATATATATATATATATATATATTATATATATATATATATATATATATTTATTTATATATATATATATATATATATATATATATATATATATATTATATATACATATTTATATATATATATATATATATATATATATATATATATATATATATATATATATATATATATATATATATATATATATATATATATATATATATATATATATATATATATATATATATATATATATATAATATATATATATATATATATATATATATATATATATATATATATATATATATATATATATATACTTAAAAACAGTATTTCTTCAGGGTTCGTAGCCGAATATTTATATAAAATTCCCTGACTTTTCCCTGACTTTTTGAAAAATCAGATAAATTTTTCTGACCATTTTCAATAATGATTTTTATAAAATGTTTAAAACTACTTACTATGGAAACAGTAAAACTGTGCATGCTTTGAAAACTTATAAAACTCAGCTGTTAGTAAGGTTGGAAATTAGTATGGATTTAACTATACATGTTAGTATTGATCTTAATATTAAAGATGACTAAGAATGAACACCAAGAAAAACATACGTTCAGAAAAAATATATGGGTAGCACCAACAAAAACATAACAGCTTAATTGTAAAACAAGTAACTTCTCAATCAGAATTCCCTGGCTTTTCCATGACTATCTAAAGAAAAAAAAACTCTTTCCCAGGCTTTCCATGATTTTAGCCAAAATTAACTAATTTTCCAGATTTTCCAGGTTTTCCAGGAACAGTATGAACACTGTTTTTATTATATTGTAACATTTTTTTTTCATAATAACTTAATTATTAAATTAAAAATTTTGAAAAGGTTAAAGCATATCGATTTATTCGTTTATATCATTATACTTGTTCATATCATTAAGTTTTTGTAATAAAATCTTTTTTTACTCGCTTTCGCACAAAGACCTCGTGTAAAAAATATGGTGTAAATAAACACAAAACTAGTTAAATTTACGGTAACCTTTTTCTAATATTTCGCTTAAATTTAAACCGTGATGGTTTCAAAAACATATTTTTAAAGTTTGAGATCTTAAATTAATTAACTAGTCATAAAGCATTTTAGAAGATCAGTATAATTGTAATTTTTTTTTAATGTCATTAATTATTTATTTACAATAATACTTATTGCCAAAACGTCAAGAAGTGTAATTATCCAAAAGAATGGACATGTGCTTTAAACCATCAATATATAACTTAATCTGACATTCAACTTTATCTAAATTAGATTATCTAATAATAATAATAATAATAATAATAATAACAATAATAATAACAATAATAATAATAATAATAATAATAGCAATAATAGCAATAATAATAATAATAACGGTAATAATAATACGTTCAAAAATCTAAACCGTAGTACCAGAGTACTAAGTAATCGAAATCAATCTTAAGTATCGTAATCAGTCATTGCAAGACTTATCTAGACTCGATCAAACACACAAAAATGTGCTACAAAACGTATGTTTTGCTTTCAGAACGATTAAGAAACTGACCGATATAAAAGCGGAAAAAAAAATTAACAAATTTGTTGTTGGCAATTTATTGTTCGAAGAATTGCTCGTTTAAACACATTTGCTAAAGTATCTATTTTCTTCTGTAGAGACTCGGTACATTCCTACACATTAGGAATGTACCGAGTTCGTGCGTTTTATGGACGAAGTTTTTTTTCTAGCTTTTTGGCTAGAAAAAAAACTTCGTCCATAAAACGCACGAACTGGTTTTATGTAGATGTCGAAGAGTTAAAACTAACCATTGTTTTTGAGAAAGGAATGTCGAATATTTATATATGCGTAACTAACATTTTGGGGATGAATTTAAAAATTTATTTGCTTCTAAATAATTTAGTTTTATTAAAGTTAAATCTTAGAAAAGTACCATTTAATTTAGATAGTTCGTCTGTTACCACATTGAAATAATTTCTGCAACTGCTTTTTACAAGAGATTTGTTGGACCTCCATCGTCTTCTTGATAAGAGTTGTTTTAATAAAGATTACCATTGTATTCATTCAATGAATATTTTGTCAATCACATCAGCTCAATAAAACTCAACAAATCATTATATTGACTGTATAAAAAGTCGTTGATATCACATTATAAAAACTAGAAAAACCGGTCAATTTCTGAACTTTTATTTTTTAGCCCAAATCAGCAACGGGAGCATTAAATATGACATAAAATGTGTCAATTTTTTCTTTGCCTTTTAAAACAACTGATGTTTTGTTACTGTCATTTACTTTGGGTTTCGAACAACGGGCTCACTTTTCTTTTAAACCTAATTAAGTTTTAAAGAAAAATGAGCACGTTGTTTGAATTTCTAATTTTGCAAAGAAATAAACTTGAGCAAAGACCGAGCCAATTATTTATTTAGTAAAAGTTAAACTTTTACTACATAAATAATTGGCTCGATCTTTGTATTGCTCAAAATTATTTCTTTGTAAAATTAGAAATTCCAACAGTGAGTTTAATAGAGCTTCAACCGTACCAAGATTATTGTCTCTGATTGAAGAGTTTTAGAGATTTATTTCGATCGCTTTTAGGCTTTCAAAAAAGACAATAAAAAAGCAGTTTTACGTCTTACCAATTTTTTTTATCAAATGTGAAGCTTCTGCTCTAACTTTATTTGTCTAGAAGTTGTGTGTTGTGTTCGATATTAACGTGAACTACAAAGTACAACTAAACGTGCCGACCACCTTTTGCCACTTAAAATTTTTGGAAGATGTGCACGTATTTTATCTTTTGATTCACTTCGACTAATTTAATCTTCATTTTCTACTGCATTTTTCAAAAACTTCCGCCTATTAGTAGATCCTACAAAAGATGCATAGATAAAATATTCATATTTTGAACAATGAAAAATAAGTACGTCCATTCTAAAAAGTTACTTCTTTCAGGATTTACAAACACTATAGATCTTCTAAGTGTCAATCCGCGTGAGGCAAGAAATTTGAAAATACAACAAACCATACTGTTTGTTAAACAAATAACACTATTTGTTAAATAAATATTATTCGGTCCTCATAAAACTTTGGTCAATAAATATATTCCACTATTTGTTAAATTTTTTTTTAACAATTGCTAAACTAATAACTCCCTTTGGACATTATTAGCTATTTGTATAATTCTTATTAAACGTTTATAACGTTTAGGCCATATGTTTCAAAAGTTTATAGAAAATTTTATAGAACTTTCTTACTGGGATATCCGGACGAAGGAATTTATGTATATATATATATATATATATATATATATATATATATATATATATATATATATATATATATATATATATATATATATATATATATATATATATATATATATATATATATATATATATATATATATATATATTGTTTTATTATTCATAAAAATTTAGTATCCCTCCTTTGATCTATTTGCTTTTTATTTCTACTGTAACTGTTTATTATAACAATTGTTTTTTATTTACATTGTTATTGTTTTTATTTTATTATTTAACTTTTGAGCATTACTTACATAGGTAATATCAATAGCTTGTTCTGTTTAAACATGATCCGGTGGATTCAACTACTTAGCAGAATCATGTTATGCGTCAATGAATCATGGCCGAAGACACGGGATTAGAAGTAGAGGGGCACAATCGTCAATTTCTAAAAAAAAGTCTTTTGTATCATAAACTTTCTGATAAAAAAGAAGTGATGAAACAAAAAGTTATCGAAAAAATTCAAATGGTACATTTTTGAAGTACAGAAGGTAAATTGGTGTTAACCTGCATGAAAGCGAATGTAAGAATGGTTTCTGTCCTGCTGATAGTTTATTACAAAATATTAAGGATCATTTGAATTCATTTAGTGTCTGTAGGAAAAGAGATGTAGGTTCTACTCAAGATGGTGCAGCATAGTTCCGCGATAAAAAGTCACGTGACTCGCGGAAAAAAAAATTGAAAAACTTCGTTCAAAAATAGCAAGAAATTATTTTATGTCTCGAA